GGTTAATTGTTTACGTCTGTCATTAGTTAATTCAAAATTTGAAATTCAAATAATAACTTATTTGTCATTCCTTACAATTTGTCCATTTCTTCTTTATACTTCCTAATTTAGGTTCTGCAAAATTATGTAAGTAATTTTTATAAGCTTATTTAAAAATTATCTTATTTACTACCATCATAAAATCTAACATCTGTCAAAAGATAACCTAACTTTTTTCCAATTAAATTATTTCTCTGGTATTTTTTATAAGCGTAGAAAAAGTATAGTCTGAAACACGTTTGGAATTGCATATTCCGCTCTCGTGAAACCGTCACACTCGCCTTCGGCTCGTGTGACAAACTTTTCACTCGAGCGAAATATGCTGTATTCCAAACTTGTTACAGAATATACTATTACCAACATTTTTGGTGAAGTCTGATGCGATACATTTAAAAGCCATACATCGTTAATTTATTCCTCTTGATAGACATTATACACATAAGAAAATTTTCCGATTCATATATCTTTTTAGAAGTAAAAAATAGTAAATAGGTTTTGTAGGTGATTGTAAAAGTTAAGAATATGATTTTTTCAGTTAAATTATATGCAGTTAGGTTTAATTCAAATTTAGGATTTAATACCTGTTTTATTTTGTCTGAATATAAAGTTTATGAAAAGTATGTCTTTTAGTCATTTAATTATTTTTTGTACATTTGATTATGTTTTAAAATATAAATAAATGGGTAGTTAATTTTCGACGCCACTGTATGTAGTTTTTATATTTTATATTTTTATTCAGAATGAATGAATTAGAAGTCAATTCAAGGCTGTCGAGTTATTTTAAAGATGTAATGCGCTTTTTCGAAATATATGGTTAATATATGGATTTAGTCACAAGTGGACATACACATCCACAGCCCAGCTAAAAGAAAAATACACAATAATTTTATTCATGATTATTGGAGACCAATAATTATTAAGTGCCTGTGATGATAAGCATAGATTGGTTTAAATCGACTTACTCAAACATAGCCTTTTTAAACCATGCAAGTCAGGTGGGCATATTGTGTATTTTGCTTATAGCTGGGCTGTACATACAGCCACAGCCCAGTTAAAAGCAAAATACACAATAATTTTATTAATGGTTATTGGAGGCTAATAAGTGCAAGATAAGCATAAATTGGTTTAAACGACTCCCTTTTTAAACCATGAAATGGCTGAAAATAGTAATTTTTCGAAAACATGAATTTTTATTATATTTTTTTGAACTCTTACTCAATATTATTTAAAAATGTTTTCATTGCTTTTATATAGAGTAATATCTTTGGTAACAAACTACATTAAAAAAATTATGCTGGCAAGTTGTTCTAAGAATAAATGAATTTATAAAATTAGACAATTTTGCCAAAAAATTGCAATTTTAAAAAAATTCCCAAAGACCATTTAGGGCATCAATAACTAAATGTGTCCTATATGGTTTAAAAGAGAAATATTTTCTTAACAATTAACAGTTTGTTTAATGTCGATAGCTTTATTAGCAAAAAAAGTAAAGTTAGGTCTGCATAGTAACTTTTGCTTAGTACTGTATAAATAGGTGATAGGGGAAGAAAAGAAAAGGTGAGTTTTTTTCACTTCTTGGGTCCATGTCTATTTACAGTTAAAAAAGAAATAAAATTAGAGTGTATGAGGTGAACTCATTGGTGGCTTATAAATGGAATTACCCTGTAGAAACAAGGTTAAAAAATATAATATATTTATATTTATAATATTATTCAATTCTGGCATCACTTGCAAACAAATGTCCAAAATTTGTTCGATTTTTACGCGAAACCATAGTTAATGTACATACCTACTGTTCATGATTTGAAACTTTACAGAAGTGTTTTATTCATCCAACCATGTACATACACACTAGGGTGGAGCGAAAAAATAAATTTTCATATTTTTAGTTATAATGGTGAAAAAAAGTTGTTACTATAACTCAGTTGTTACCCTGATTAAAAAAAAATATCTAATAATATCTTCTACCCTCTACGCACCCTTAAAAATACGGCAAAAACGTGCAAAAATTAATTGTCCCTAACCGGTGCGAAATAAATTAAAAGCAGCTCTTTGCTTGATTAGGTTAACCAACCCAGAACTCACCACGAGGAGGTGGCTGCTATTCGAGTTCCACCCACCCACCCTCTTACCACTTTAGAGTTCTATTGATTAAATTCTTTTTTCGTATTAAAGGTTGGCATTGCTGCTCTGGATTTAAAAGTGACTTTAATAAAGCCATCTCTAGCTTCGGAGCCAATCACATTTTGTAATGCTTCAGTCACTAACTTGACACAACGTTCCACCGCCTGGGTATGACAGGGAAAAAAGATGGGATGTACCAACGACACATGCGATCTATTTTTAATTGAGCTTGTAATTTTTTCACCGGTAAGCTCATTCAGAATAGGTGGAGTTGTTATTTTAGTAATTTGCCAATGAATAAGCTCGATATAATCGCTTGCCTCAAAATTTATCTTTGGAATGACGAACGTTCTCTTTATGTCACTGTCACATGCCAATCTAGCCTTTTATACGTCTTAATGCTAATTCTTGGACATTTGATCTGTCATCTGCAAGCATACATATTAGGGTGGGCCGAAAAAAAGCCGATTTTGAGCTACGGCAACGGGGTAGGTTTCAAAAGTTGTGGGTTTACTTCAGTAACAACTCTGCAAAATCCTAATTTAAAAAAAATATCTTGAGTCTGCGCAAGGGGATTGAAAAAACGGATTTTTTGTAAAAAACTTGTTTTTGGACAAAAAAAAATAATTTTGCCAAGTTGATATACCAAGTATGGGTAGGGCTTAAAGGCTGCTTTAAGACCTCTGTTACATCATATATAAAAATCACATCAAAATAATAATGCTCTGAGTCTGCGCAATTGAGCTAAATTTTAAGTAATTTTGTAAAATTCGTCAAATATAGACTTTTTGTGCAACTCTTCCCTAGTTATTAAAACTACCCAGGACTCACCACGTGGAGGTAGTTGCACATCGAAGCAGCCTGTTGGCTGTTGTCAACCATCTAGGGCTGGCATAATTCGACGGATCGAGAAAGGCTTAATCGACAATTGCAATGGGTTATAATATTATGTCAACTGCACACAAATGAATTATATATTAAGTATTTCTATACCATCAAACGAACTAAAGGAACTAGCTGAATTTATTATAAAAGTGTATGCACCAGCGTGGTTCACTATAAAAATAACCCAACAATAAGTCAAGGTGCAGTAAATCTTTGAAAAGCTATTTCGTTTTGTTCCTACTTAAAAGATGAATACAAAGCAATTGTGCAAAAGTGTTTTCAAGATAATGGATTCTTTTCTCATCCAGAAAACATTATTCCAGCGATGTTAAAAGTTCAACGAAGACACATTCGTCATTTAGGTGTTAGGCGCATTATCGCAGCAAGGGTTAGAGCTGAAGTAAATAAAACTATAGGGCGATTTGCAATACCTAAAATAAATTTTTGTGCTAAAGACTATGTGGATATGATAAGTTGGCAAGATGTGAATGTAACTGAACCTCCACTTACCAAGCATTTAAATAACTAATAATAATTAAGTATTAAAAAGTGATGATTTTTCAGAAATATTTCTTGATCTTCCATCATACACTCAGGCAGTAGAAAGATGTGTTAAAGAAATTACAGCTGTGTCTAAACAAGTTTGGGATGAAACAAAGGGGGACGGAATTGTGCGGACACGCATATTGGATAAGAAAATATGCCCAAGTATTGAATCCAAAAAAGACTATAAATTTTAAGTGGTCCTCTCTTGGTAGGGTGGAAGGGTGGGTTACGGGTGGTACTCGATGTGCAACTACCCCCACGTGGTAAGTAGTTTCAAAAACTAGCGAAGAGTTGCACAAAAACTCTATATTTAACGAATTTTCACAAAATTACTTAAAAATTAGCTCAATTGCTCAGACTCAGAGCGGTATTATTTTGATGTGATTTTTATATATGATGTAACAGAGGTCCTAAAGCAGTCTCTAAGCTGTACCCATACTTGGTATATCAACTTCGCAAAATTATTTTTTTTTGTCGAACAAGTTTTTTACAAAAAATCCGTATTTTCAATCTCCTTGCGCAGACTCAAGATATTTTTTTTAAGAATTAGGATTTTGCAGAGATGTTACTGAAGTAAACCCACAACTTTTGAAACTCACCCCGTTGCCGTAGCTCAAAATCGGCTTTTTTCGGCCCACCCTAATACATATTTACAGGTTCTAGGGTGAATAAAAAAGGCATTCCGTTGTATTACTGGATCAGTTATATTCCTTTGTTCTTGTATTAGGTATCGACTTAATTGAATTGTTTTCCAGACATGCTTGGAACCATTTTCGCAAGAAACTTAATCCTAAACCACATCGGTGCGTATACCGTTTGAATAAACTGGGTCAAGTCTTTAAGATTGGAACTATAGGATTTTGTGTGCCAATGTAGACTCGCAATATCCGATTTGCTGTAGTTAACCACCTAGAATAACCAAGTTTTCCAGGGGCCATTTTAGATAAACCTAAGGATATGTTACCGTTTGAGATTGCAGAACACATTTGGTAAGGCAAAATACAAGAAATTGGTTCAAAATCTATAACTGGCAAATTCTGGCAGGATTCCAGTGCTTTACCTATAGGTCCCACGAATCCATGGGGTCCAGTGGTGTTACCATCGAGCAGCTGGCAAATAAACCACTGCAAAGAACGTTTTAATTGTCCCTCCATTTGATATATAACTCTATTTTTTGATCCAGTGTTTACTACTGTCCCATCAGATCCCACTGCTAACAAACTATCAAAGATAAAATTATTCAATTTAAGAAATCTTAGTATGGACTCTGTAATACTTTTAGCAGATCCTGAAGATGGTATGGTGTGCCCTAAATAAACAGATCCAGGTTCTCCAATTAAGGAGATATGCTCTTTCACTATAGTTTTCCTATATAATTTATTTCCACCTATTTCTTGTTCCAAGGTTTAATCTTTTCTGCCGTCAAAGAAAACCGCTTTTACTGAGTTGTCAATACCCTTGTCTTGCAAACTTTGCCTACTTTTTATCCTAGCTCTTCTAACTTTGCTTCTGTCAACCACATTAACTGTATCTCCTTCTGTAATTATTCCAACGTCTTTTAGAACAGCTGATGCGATGGCTGCTGCGGATCTGTCAGATACACCATATCGATCCAAAACTCGAGCGAATTTTTTTAGTTCAGTACGATTTGGTCCTTGTCCTTGTGTGCACTGTGTTTCCTTTGAGGTAGATGGAACATCTTCGTTATATTCGAGTATTTTCTTCGTCAGAAATGCTGACTTCGTCTAATTTTACCATTTTTTTCTTGCAAACGTCATGCGTAGATGGAGGCTGCATTTCATAATTTTTTGCTATTTATTTTCTTTTTTCCTTTTCTGCAATCTCCTTGTTTCTACTAATTCAACTTTGCCTATGAACATTTTTCGGTTCGTCCTCTGGTTAAGAAAGATTTTTCTTGAACGGATACTTTATTTTGTTTTATGCAAAAACAATTTTCAAAAGTTTTGCACTTACATGAACTAATATCAAAAAGGGTTTTGGCATTCTCTTGAAAACTTTTTACTTTTAGTACATAGTTATTATTTTGTTTTGATAGTGGATGACTGATAATTTTAAGGTACGTGTCGTGATACGATCGAATACATTAAATTACACGTGTACGAGAAACTGTTGGGAGTGATGCCTTTGACCACAACTTACAAATTTTCTCACATAAAATGTCGCAAATGGGGTAGTTAAATTTTTTCTGACCTATACTTTTTATGGTTTTATTCAAGGCGTTTTGTAATATTAAACATTTCTGTAAAATCAGAATTTCAATTGAGTTTACCGTTTTCGAGATATTTACAAAAAATATAAATTTTTATGACGTCACAAACCTCGCCATGTGACCAACATTCTAAGATTTCTATTGGTTGAAAATTACCCTGTTGTCAAGTTGTCTTGTTAATGATTTCATTCGGTTATGTCAGAAAATACCCGAAGAGGTTATGTACAAATACTGTCACTGTCAGTTGAGTGAAAAAAGAAGAAGAGGAGGTTAAAGAAAATTCTGAAATTAAAAGTTTTATTGATAGGTTTACACATTGAAACACCGTGTGAAACCTAATAAAATGTAATAAATAGGTACCTAATAACTGTCTAAAGCAGAGTTAAATATATTTCATAGAAAAAAGTGGCAAAATAAAGCTGAAAATGAATGAAATAAATTTACAAAAAATAACAGTAAATGTAAGTTAACAATGGTATTTGTGAGATTTGTGTATAGTTTTTATAAAACTTGCATCCCTGATGATGAGCATCAAGTGTTCGAAGATACTATGCTCTAGAAAACATTTTTGTACTTTTCGACAATTCTGGTTTAAATATTGCTGCAATAACGTAGGTACATGGTAGGTAAAGATAGTGCAGGGTCTACAAATAGACATTTTGATTAAAATTATTCAAAAAGATGGTCACCATATTCAATAAGTACCTATAGATATATCTTCCTTATTACGAGGTATCATATTAGGGGCCGTTCATTAATTACGTGAGACAATTTTGGCGATTTTTCGACCCCCTCCCTCCCCTTGGTGAGATGTCGTGAGATTTTGCTCGACCCCCTCTCCCCCCCTTAATCTCACGTGAGATTTTTTAAAATGCATGGTTTTAATGTAAATAAGTTAATCTGTGCTTGATTCCATTAGATTTATTAAAAAAAACAATTTGCTTATAATTGTTTACTTCATTTAACCAGGGTTGGATGAATTTGTCCAAGTGGACATAATTGGACGATTTTGTCCAATTATGTCCGTCCAGACATAATCAATTGTTTTGGACAAAATTGGACAAAATCGGACAAAATCAATTAACCTTATTATAATAATTATAATTTATGTTTTATTGTTGTTTAAGTTGTTGTTGACACCCTAATATAATTATTATATTAACAACAACTTAAACAAAAATAAAACATAAACAACTTGAACATTTTGGTGCTTGACTAGCCATTGTTATCTTATTTATATTTAACAACTACATAACATACAAGATACATGAAGTTTAAAAAACAGAGACCCAAGACTACAGCACAAGCAAAAGGCAGATTTTCTCTGCTCTGTCTCTGCACTTGTTTTCAAACGGTTAATAATAATAAGAATTAGGAATAAATAATAAGCGATAACCTACTTGAAACCTGTCTACTTTTTTTAATACCTTGATTCTTGTATTACAACAAAATAAATGAAACAAATAATATTATAATATATTATATTATGTCATAAACGAAAAATAAATAAAAAATATATTCTGTAGTAAAATACATATAATACCTAAATATAATAAGTAGAAGGTACCTATTATACCATAATTATAATAGTAGTACGTAATAGAAAATAAAACGTTGTGGCACTGTCACTATGGCAGCAGTAAAATGTTGCAATTATATGTGCTGAAGTGATGCAATCTTTGAATCTTTTATTTATAAGACTTTCGTATGGATATAGTAAGTATAGGGACATTCCACGTTACTCGGTAGTTTTTGTCCCACCCGTCACAATTAAAAATTGTGAGTAAATACCACAAGTTATTAATTTATTATTTTATAATATAATTTTTATTATGCTTATAAGCCTCTTACAAGCATAATAAACAATATTTAAAAAAAAATTTAATAACGTGTAGTTTTTACTCACAATTTTTAATTGTGACGGGCGGAACAAAAATTACCGAGTAACGTGGAATGTCCCTATAGTACCTATATAGTAAGCTCCACCTTAAATTTCGCGAAAATTGTTAAATATTTTGAACTGTGACTACAATTATGCATTAAATCGTTTAAAAATTTGCAATGCCATGTTTTTAAGGGAACTGTATTCATTTTTTACCTCAAAGCATTATTTATTATTTAAGGTTTTGGTTAACGTTGAAGTAGGTAGTACTACACGGTTCACCGAACGCCGTTTTTAACGAAAAAAATAAAACAACTTTGAAACAATTTTTTAAAAAATACTTACCAACTAAGTATTCAAAAAAAAGTAAAATGAAAATCTTCCATGTAGATCTTGGGAAATAGCGATCAATTCTTCGTAATTTATGTGCAGTATCGTATATTGCTAATATTTTATCTGTCTCAAAGTTAATATTTGTGGAATATTTTTAATTTGAAAGACTCATACGATAGTAGGAAACTCAAACTTTATTCTTATGAATGCATTATTCAAAATTATAAACGAAAAAATTGATAAACTTTAACAAAAATGTAAAAAACAACAAAATAAATCTAAGCCTACAGATGTTGACTATTGTATGCACAAAGACATCGAAGCAAGTTCATATTATATTTTTCTAAGTTATTTCTGGATAAATTAAAATTCCTGGAAAATATATTGACTGAATAATGAACTTGCTCCGATGCTTGCTCTGAGAAGAAACCAAGGGCTCTTTGCGTTTCTTCAATAAATTGAGGAACATGATAAATGAGAGCATGGATATTTGGTGTACAGTTACGGAAAGAAGTAATGTCCATTTGAATGCTCCATTGTAATTGTTCGGAGGCATTCGGAAATGGTCAACATCTGCCTCTTAGGGATTTATTTAAAAATATGTCTATATTTAGAATTTACTACCTGCTCGTATTGAATTAATTATTTTGGGTATGTTACATATTTAACTGTATTTTTATTAAATCGTTAATTTTTTGATATATTTTTGTATAGTTTTATAAACATTTATTCTATGAAAAAACTTTTAATAAGAACTTTTTAGGCTATAAATTATATTATCAAGTTGTAGTTTTTTAAAACTTACTTTACATTTTTCAGAACTAGCAATGATTCAATACACTATTTTAGGAGTAAAAACAAATTTTATTATTTGTTGCACTTTTATGTGTTAAAATTAAAAACATACCCTCTAAAAATGAATTAGTCAAAAATTACTAATTTAATAGTTAATAGTGGCTGCTTTTTCACTTGTACCATGGTTAACCATGGAATATCATGGTATCCCAAAACTAAATAGCCAATTCTTATGTAAAATTATCCCCTGAATCCAAAAATACCGTCAAAAGTTAAAAAACAGTTTTTGAGATATAGTCAATTTTCTATTTAATATGGAATTGACTATATTTCATAAACTGCTTCACTTTCATAATTATTGACGGTATTTTCGGATTCAGGGGACAATTTCACATAAGAATTGGCTGTTAAATTTTGGGATACCATGGTATTCCATAGTTAACCACGGTACAAGTGAAAAAGCAGTCAATAATAATTAAAATTTTTATATTTGGTATATTTTTAAATTAAATATACTAGGATTTATCAGAAAATGTTTAATATAATTATTATATAAAAGTTAACATACCTATAAAACTATAACTTACATATAAAAACTATAAAACATATAAACATAAATAGCTATAATTTTAAAATTATAAAATATATATTATATAAATATATAAATATTATAAAACTATAAAATATATATTATATATTTCTTTATATTTATTTATTGCTCTTTTATTATATGTAGGTTAATGTGTAAAAAATTATAAAATATTTATTCTTTAAAGTTATAATAATATACGCCGGCGCCGTTAAAATTATCATCGGCGCACACGTCGCGTATTTAGGCATAATTAGAGGTATAAGTTAATACTTGCCGAAAGGGCTAATCCTCATCCGGCTTAATAAGAAAATATTACAATACCTATAGATGTATAAACAGAAAATATATAAATTATATCATAAAAGTAGGTAATAAATTTTACAGACCGAAGTTCTTCCGGACTAAAATGTTAAAAAGTATTTTAATTTAACTTCATATTAATATTTTAAACGTAGGACAAATTATTAAATATTTGATAAAAAATATTATATAATTATAAGTATAAATACCAAAAAATGGTCCTGTTAAAATGCAAGCTCTTAATATTACATTTACAGGTCCCTCATCGAGAATTTTTATTTCCCATTAAAATATTATGAGATTTTTTAAAAAACTAAAATTGTATAACTCGTAAACGGATTAGTAAAACTAAAACAAATTTTGGTAGGGCTCTTTTAAAAGGTATTCAAGGTAAAAGTTGAATTTATAGAAATTTTCAAGATTTTCAAACTTTTTCAGCAAAACAAAATTTATGGTAAAATTTAGTAGGACCCTTTTTTAGGAAAATATTATCTAAAACCATAAGCAAAGAAAGCTGCCTTTTTATTTAAAAAGAAATGGTAAATAATTACATTAATAATTATAATTGAAGCATGGCATTCCCAAAGGGTTTGGACCCAATTTGGTCAAATAT